GAACTGTACAAGTGGCATCGTGGTAAGACTGGTCGAGGCTAAAGCAAAGCTGACCCCCCTCGATCAAAAAGGTGATCCTGTGAAAGCAGAATTATGTGGAGCTGTTTTTGCTGCCCGCCTTAAAAACTACTTTCAGAGACACTGTCACATGAAAATCAAGAAGTGGTACCATTTTGTTGACAGTCAAACTGTACTGGGTGCAATCCAGCGAGAAAGCTATGGCTACCAAACATTCTTCGCAAATCGTGTTGGTGAAATCCAGGGCAGTACTGATGTCAACGACTGGTGGTGGATTCCTGGGCAGGTGAACATTGCAGACATCATTACTAGAGGGGCCAGTCCTGAAGCCCTGACTGAGGACTCTGAATGGCAGTTAGGTCCAAAGTTTCTCCAACTTCCTGATGATAAGTGGCCAAAAATATCTGCCAAAGATGTTGCTGCACAAGCTCGAGATAAAGTTGAAAAAATTCAGAAAAAGACATTTGCAGCCATCCTGACCAGAAGTCACTTGAAGGCAGCTCAAGATACGGCCCATAAAGTGCCCAGAAGACCACCTGCTGAAGAGGTAATTTTAAGCCTAGTTGATGAAAAACGCTTCAGCAACCTGAGAAGACTGATTGGGACCGTGGCGTGGATCTGGAGAGCAGCCAAAAAGTTCCTGAGAGTCAAGGTCGCAGATCAAGAAAAGTGGGAGGCAGTACCATCATCGGGGATCCTTTCAATCAATGAAATACGAGATGTGTTCCGAGATCTCTGTCTAGCAGCACAAAAGGGTGTGAGCTTCCCTAACACCACAACAGACAGATTAGTCGTCCACAGAGACCAGATAAGTGGACTTCTAGTTTGTGGTGGTCGAATCTAGAACTTCAACGAAGACTGCAAAGCTGTTCCTCTTTTACCATTCCAAACCTGGATTTCCACCCTCCTAGCCAGAGAAGCACACAGCGAGGGACATTATGGAGTGGCAGGAACCCTTCTGCGGATGAGGAAGAAGGCGTGGGTCATCAGGGGAAGAGTTATTGCCCGAAAGGTTGTGGACAAGTGTATCACCTGCAAGAAAGCAAAAGCAAGAACCTGCAAGCAAATAATGGGAAACTTGCCTGAAGAGAGGTCAACTCCTGCTGCACCGTTTGAATTTACATCTGTCGACTTGTTTGGACCTTACCATGTGAAGGATGATGTCAGAAAGAGGGTGACAATGAAAGTCTGGGGTGTTGTGTTTTGTTGCATGTCCAGTCGAGCCATTCATGTCGAGCTGGCAAACACATTATCTACAGAAAGCTTCCTGCTTGCTTACCAGAGGTTCACCGTAGTCCGAGGCCATCCCCAAAAAATCTGGTCTGATCCTGGTACCAACTTCGTTGGAGCAAAACCTGTATTAAAAGAGATGTACATTTACTTGAAAGAACAAAATCAAGAGTCAATTGGAGAATATGCTGCCAAACATGAAACTAACTGGACATGGAAAATCCTGCCAGCTGACTCGCCTCACCGGAATGGAGCTGCCGAAGCTGCTGTCAGAATCACCAAAAAAGCACTCCAAAGTCTTGGTAATGTAGGGGGCCTTACCTTTAGTGAATTTCTCACAGTACTCCATCTAGCTGCCAATCTTGTTAATGAAAGACCCATCGATGCCAGAATTCAGAGTGCAGAAGACAGGATCCAGTACATCACACCAAACACTCTGTTACTTGGTCGAGCCACACAAAATGGTGACTTCAAAAGTATTGACTACACCACTTACCCCTTCAAACGACTCCAACAAGTGCAAAACATGGTCAACAACTTCTGGAAGTCCTGGAGCCAACTCGCTGGTCCAAACCTGTTTATTCGCAGTAAGTGGCACACTGCTGAAAGAAATGTTGCCGTTGGAGACATAGTTTGGCTCTGTGACCAAAATGCACTAAGAGGGCAGTTCAAGCTTGCAAAAGTTATCCGTGTGAATCCAGATCCTGGAAATGTCGTCTGAGATGTTCATGTAAAAGTTTCTCCAAGTTCCAGTTTTTTGATGAAGACCCCAAAACCTGTCGCCAGAGATCCCAAGTCAATTTGCCAAGATGCCATACTGCATCGGGATGTCCGGCGCCTTGTTGTCCTTGTACCAGTCGAAGATCAAGTCAAGAGTGCCTAGCTCGCCTGAGAAGGTACGACCATTCTGTGTATCACCACATAAAGATCGAGTGGGAGGTGTCACGGCAACCTGGCGCCGCCCACACCGTGCACGCTGCACATACTGTGCACGCGCTCTTCACATGCTCTACACGGCAGCGCGACTGTGAGCGCTGAGCAGGTGCGCTTAATCAAATCAGCTGACGGCTCGCACTGGCACTAAAAAACAACAGCAAACCAGCCACTCGGTTGAGAGAAAAAAAAAGCACAGCGAGCAGGGCGACTGTGCAACTGGCGAAATTAAAAAAGGAATGCTGAGTGAAAAAGGAAGTCTGGTCCCAGTCTGTCAAGTGGACACCTCACAGTAACTGCAGAGAAACTTGACATGCACCAAGAACTACTGAAAGAAACGACACAAAAACCTCTGAAGACACTTCTTCTTCTTCTGGAAATAAAAACAAAAATGGAGTGGCATCAAGTTTCAGCAGTTTTAGGAGTTATATTTTGTCATTTTTCAAAAATGGACTCAGCATGAGCAGAAGATGAGGCAGAAGACCATGGAGAATATTGTTTTTCACACAAGGCAGCTGACGGCTCCATATAAGGTAAGAGAAATGTGGGTTTGTTTGCCCTGCTCTGTACTCAATTTCTTGCTTGTGGAGCGGGGCCCGGTCTGTTTACATTCACACTGTACTCGAACTGCGCTTGAGTTCTCTTCTACCGGACCGAGACCTAGGTTTTAGCCCGGGCCAGAGTTCGCCTTTTTGTTCCGTGACAGAGTTCGATGGCGCGTTCACACCTCCCCAAGCAAACCGGACTTTCTAGGAAAACGAGCTAGAGTTCGATTAAAGCGGACTAAACAGGGCTGGTGTGAATGCACCCAATGATCAGAAGACTGAGGTCATTGTGTTAACCCTAGCTTTGCCAGTGTCACTGATCCTGCAAACCTGGACTCCCTTCAGCCATATCTAAAACAATCTGTTACCAATCTTGCGATAGTTTTAGACTCGGACTTTAAGTGTAATAAGCAGATAAACTCTGTTATTCTAAAAAGCTTCTTTCAGCTATGGCAGATCCGACCTGGAAAAATTAGTCCATGCATTTATTACAACCCAGCTCGACTACTGTAACTCGCTTTATGCTGGGGTCAGTCAGGTCTCTCTCTCACGTCTCCAGCTTGTCCAAAATGCTGCAGCTCGGCTACTAACAGGAACTCGCAGGTTTAAGCACATTACTCCAGTTCTGTCCTCCCTTCACTGGCTTCCTGTGCGTGTCAGAGTTGATTTTAAGATTCTTCTGCTGACATTTAAGTGTGCTAATGGCCTTGCACCCTCATACCTCTCTGACCTCCTTCATCCTTATACTCCTTCTCGGGCCTTGAGATCATCAGACCAGCTGCTTTTGGCCGTACCAAAAACCAGGCTGAAGCTCAGAGGAGATCAGGCGTTTTCAGTCATAGGCCCTAAACTATGTAACAATCTGCCCATCAACATTCGACAGGCCACCTCAGTCTCTACTTTTAAATCTCTCATCAAAATACATCTGTACTCATTGGCATTTAACACAGTGTGATCTAATTTGGTATTTCATTGTTGATGATTGTGTTCATCCATTTTGCTTTTACTCCCTGACATTTAACGCAGGGTGATTTGATTTAGTATTTCATTGTTTCTCATTATATTTCATGTTTTTATGCTTTTATCCATGTTGCTGTAATATCTTGTTATTAATATTTGATGCTGTGATCTTTTTGGTAAGCACTTTGATAACAGTTACTGTTTTAAATGTGCTATATAAATAAATGTGACTTGACTTGACTACTTGGACAGTTCTGGAGCAAATGGAAACAGGAGTATCTTCAGAACATTATGGTCAGACAAAGATGGAACACACCCAAAAGGAACATGCAAATAGGAGACATAGTAATGGGCAAAGATGAAATGCAACCACAATCCCAGTGGAAGCTTGGACGAATATTGGACATTGTAAGAAATGCAGATGGACATGTCAGAAAGGTCAAAATTGCCTTTGCTGATCGAAATCTTACCAAAAGAGTGTGAATAAAATGCCTGTAGTAGAATGCCTCATTCATAAATTAATTCTGCTGCTAGAAGATTGTGAAAAGTAAATTCACCATGTTTAAATGTATTGGTATATTGTAAGTTACAATTACACTATGTTTGTTAGGTTATTATTGTTGTGGTTAACTATCTTGAAGAAATAATTTGTTTCATTTGTTCAACTGAAAATAATTTAATGGGAGTGTAAAGCCAGCAGAGTAAAGTTACTTATGTTTATATTAAATATGGCTTAAAGTTACATGCTTTTATTTTGGTAACTTCCATGTGAGAAGAAGTATGCCAATGGCAATTAGCTCGGCAAGAAAAGAAAAACAACACGTGAAACGGAATAAAGCTAATGGCAGCGCGGAAAAAATATCACGGAAAATTTTAAAAAGCAACTCCAGTCTAGCTTAAGTCAATAGGGGATCAAGGTTTGTAACTTTGTTTAAATTGAGTAATTTGAAATGATGTGTTAATGGAAAGAAATGTACTAATGTAATGAGCTATGCAGAACAATAGATGATAAAATAACTGGATGCTACAAATATATATATATATATATATATATATATATATATATATATATATATACATATAAATTGAACAACAACTGATAAAGTCCCAGCTTTTTGTCCTTTTCCATGTAGAAAATGTCACCCGTCCTCCCTTGTGAAGGTTAATTAGGGCCCAGGAGATGTTAGATGTAAGTATAATTCTAGGAAATGGAATTCAGTCCTTTTTGGAGCATTGTGAATGATAATAATAATAAATAAAAAAAGGTATGTCTATCTATAGTTTAAGACTTACACACACAAACAAATGAGTTACCATGACAACCAGGTTTTCAGTGGTAGGTCCCAGAGCCTCTAATGACTCTGGTTCATCAGAAGGTCTCTTGTAGTGGAAAGACGTCCCCGCGATGTCAAACTTCCGGGGCCAGTCAATGGTCCAAGCTCCATTGATGTAATATTCATCCTCTTTAGATTTTAATGCTAAATGATCACAAAAACAGGAAGACAAATTAGGAGACTGAAATGAGCATTCTTAATTACAGCCAGAATAACAGCAAATAAAATATTAGACAAAAAAAATTAACTCTGTAAAGGAGTCCAATGGTTAGATATTCATTGTAATAATTATTAGAGCAGACAAATCAAAGAACGGGCATTATGTTTCATCAGTGAGGATTATGCCATATTGAAAGCATTATCTTTTTTTTTGGCTACTGTTGTCAAAAATGCTTCACAAATCAAAACATATCTGTGCAATAATAAAAAAAATTACCCAGCATTATAATACTTAGGTAATTGTATACTTTCCAGTAAGAAAGAGTAACTACTTAGACTTACAAATGTACTATGTTTCAGCACTCTGAGTCCAGAATCAGCTCTGACTGACTACAAAGACAACTTTATTCAAACTTTATTCAGTTTAATTCTTTGTTGAAATGTTTTGTCTTTTATCCAGAAGACGAAAGTTTTCAACAAAGAAAAATCCATCCAGAGGACCGGACTCAACCTCGACCTACCAATTGAGTACAGTATTTTGAAATGACCTAAAAATTTTCAGTCAGGTCATATGGACAGTTTCTTTTTTTTTTTGGTGCTGAAATGTTTCACCTTCCATCCAGAATGCTTCATCAGTCAAGGAAACACAAAACCGATTCTTCCCCCAACAGCTTAATCCAAAGTGGAACAAACCAGTTATGTTGGTGCTAAGATGGTCTCTTTGGCACGCCCCCTCCTCCGGTGCCAGCCCACTTCCTTGTTGACAGTCATGGCAAACTGGTTCAAAAGCAAAAAAGTCTGATGATGAGGAGGAAGTCCAGTATCCAGCCGCAGATGGACTTCTCCAGGCCCAATGTGGTGAGCTTGGAGACCAGTTTGGAGAGGATTATGGTGTTAAATGCGAAGAGCAATCTCACATAGGTGTCTTCCTTCTCCAGATGGTGGAGGGAGGTGTGAACTGCTAAAGCAATGGCATCATCTGTAGACCTGTTTGCTCTGTATGCAAACTGTAGGGGGTCCAGTGTGTCAGGGAGGGAGGCACAGATTTGAGTTTTGATAATTTGCTCAAAGCACTTCCTAATGACAGATGTGAGTGCTATGGGCTGGAAGTCATTAAGGTAGGATGCTGCAGAGGTCTTTGGGATGGGGACAACAGTCGAGGTCTTGAAGATTGTGGGCACAATACACTGGCTCAGAGACAGGTTAAAGATGCTGGTAAACACCTTGGTGAGTTGGTCAGCGCATACTATCAGCACCCGTCCTGGGATGCCATCAGGCCTTGGTGCCTTGTGAGAGTTTACCTTCTTGAACGCCTGTCTCACTGTAGCAGTGTCTATACAGAGTGTGACATCCTCACTGTCTACATGCGGTCTGGTGGCATGTGTGGCGTTGTTTGCATCACATCGGACGTAGAAGGTGTTGAGCTCATCCAGAAATGATGCACTTGTCAGCTCCAGAGACGTGCTTTCTCTTGTAGTCTGTGATGCAGATGCCACACGCGCCTCGAGTCATTGCTCTGTTGGGCAAATTCCCTGTATTTCCTCTGAGACGTCTTCACAGTCTTTCTGCGGTCAGATTTTGCTGCTTTGTAGACCTCAAGATTCACAGATTAGGGTGCATTCACACCAGCCCTGTTAATTCCGCTTTAATCGAACTCTAGCTCGTTTTCCTAGAAAGTCCAGTTTGTTTGGGGAGGTGTGAACACGCCATCGAACTCTGTCACGGAACAAAAAGGCGAAATCTGGCCCGGGCTAAAACCTAGGTCTCGGTCCAGTAGAAGAGAACTCCAGCACGGTTCGAGTACAGTGTGAATGCAAACAGACCGGGCCCCACTCCACAAGCAAGAAGTAGAGTACAGAGCAGGACAAACAAACACGCATTTCTCTTACCTCATATGGAGCCGTCAGCTGCCTTGTGAGAAAAACAATATTCTCCATGGTCTTCTGCTTCAACTTCTGCTCATGCTGAGTCCATTTTTGAAAAATGACAAAATATAACTCCTAAAACTGCTAAAACTTGATGCCACTCCGTTTTTGTTTTTATTTCCAGAAGAAGAAAAATAAGTGTCTTCAGAGGTTTTTGTGTCGTTACTTTCAGTATTTCTAGGTGCAGCGCCCCCACAGGCGAGTGGGGGAATAGGTTGGTTCAACAGGTTGGCTCGACTGCACAGTGCAGTGTGAATGCAAACGCACCAGCTCAAATGTAAACAAAATGTCATGAATATTGGTCCCCAACCGAACCGAGTCTACCGGACTATCAGATGTGAAAACAACCTTAAAGACAGCAGTGCATGCTTTGATTTTGGCATGAACCTCTGGTCCAAACCATGGTTTCTGGTTAGGGTAAGTGCAGATGGAGGTTTTACGCACAACATCACTAATGCATTTCCCTATGAAGCCTACAAAAGAATCTGTGTACGTGATGATGTCTCCACCAGCTGAGGCCCTGTACACACGTAGCCGGATATCAGGAAAACCGAATAGTTTATCATGCGGTGTGGCCTTTCATCCACACGTGAACTCCGGTTGATGTAACTATAAACGAATAATAACAAAAACTCCGACCAAAGTGGAGATTTGAGAAATCTCCTCTTTCGGGTTTGCGTGTGGACTTTCGGAACCGGAGATATGCGCATTATGTCTGCGACAGATGGTGCAGCGCGGCGCTGACGTCACATGTGCGACAATTGTTTTTGTTTGCCCATTCATTCGGAGGGAAAATGACTGCGTTTAGGGAAGTACTAATTGTAACGCTGGTTCAGGCAATTTTTGCTTGCTTGTTTTTACAAGCACAACTGCTCCAACAGATGGAATTACAAAGGAGAAAAAGCGTTTGGCGTTCAGCTCTTTTACAGCAACTATCCCTACCGATACGGAGGCACAATACCGCCATTCAGCGTCGCCGTCGCCGGTTTTGGATCAGACCTGGACGCACTGCTGGCTGGTGGGAAAACTTTGAGAAGGAAATTGTTCTCCCACAGGAATGGCGTGAGAACTTCAGAATGTCACGGTCGTCATTACTGTCGCTCTCGGAGTTACTCCTTCCTTACATTCAAGGGAAGAGTACTGTAATGCGATCTCCAGTCTGTGTGGTCAAAAAAGTTGCATGCACGCTATATTATTTGGCTGACGAGGGAAGACTGCGTAAAACGGCCAATGCATTTGGCTTATCAAGACAAGTAGTCTCAAACATAATTAGAGAGGTGTGTAAGGCTATAACTGTGTACTTGGGACCATCTTACATAAAAATGCCAACAACAGAGACTGCTGTGCGTGCACTTGTTGAGGGATTTGAGCAGGCTTATGGTCTCCCTCAGTGCCTTGGAGCTGTGGATGGGACTCATGTGGAGATAAAGCAGCCATCAGCTAATTCTACAGAGTACCTAAATAGGAAGGGGAGGTTTTCTCTTAACATACAAGCCACCTGTGATTACAAGTACAGCTTTATTGATGTAGTTGTGAAATGGCCAGGGAGTGTGCATGATGCCAGAGTTTTTGCTAACTCCACAATAAACACAAATCTGAAAAACATGAAGATTCCCCCCTGTCCAAGACAAATTGTGGAGAACGAAGACGCTATACCCATTTACATACTGGGTGACCCTGCATACCCACTTCTACCTTACCTGATGAAAGAATATGCTAACGGAGGAAGCAATGTTCAGGAGCAGTACTTTGGACTTTCGTTGTGCCGAGCTAGAATGGTGATTGAATGTGCATTTGGAAGACTAAAAGCCCGATTTGGAGCCCTGAGGAGAGCCATGGACATCAATATGAATGATCTTCCATTTGTTATATATGCATGTTTTGTGTTGCACAATTTTTGTGAGGCATCAAAAGACACTGTGGATGAAAACAGAATAACTGAAGCTATTCAACATGACAGGAACAATCAACCGGACACACAGCCAGTGGTCAGAGGAGACAGCTTGGCAGCAGAAGGAAAGCGGGTCAGGAGAGTCCTCACTCAGTGTCTGGATCCATAAACACAAAAACCTGTGAACTATTTAGCAGACTGCGTTGTTTTTTCATAAAAAAACGTTATAGTTAGCACCATGTATGTTAGAGAATTTTTAAATTGTTTTGTGCAATGTTATTGCATTTCATTCTATTAATGCATGAAAAGCTACCACCCAGGATTTAGATACATTATATAATAGTTTGTAGCTCATTAGACAGACTTTTAAGTTAAATGATTTTACTTTTCTCTCTTAAAATTGGACCTGTAGTGTATTAAATAGTGCTGCCAATACTTTCTGATGAACATGACTGTATTTGTAACTGATAAATGTCATATTCACAAAAATTCACATAAAGAAACTTGCTTTTAAAATGTTTGTCAATTTATTCAAACGAACACACTTAACATGTTCTTATTTTGTGTTTCATTTATGAACAGATCAGATTATAACAGATCTACAACAGATAAAGCTTTTTAAACATGGGAGAAAAGCAGCACAGTTACTGTACACTTTTAAATCAGTGATGCCCAAGTCCATAACTTGGGAGCTACCACAGGTACATTTCAGCTGCATTTTCTTCAACAAACCAGTATGAAATAGCTGATTTCAATCATCAGTATGTATTTGATAGTGGTGTTTTGGAGAAATAAATACATCTAAGTAGCAGTAGCTCCCAAGGACTGGACTAGATCACCACTCTTATAAAGATTCACGTAACAAAAATGTAAATAGTTAAAGTATTGTGCAATTGCTACATTTTAAGCTTTTCACAGTATGTATAAAAAGATAGCAAACAGAAAAAAAAAACACTGTCAGAGTAAATAACACTGTGATTAACAACCTGACATGTGTGCAACCTTGTGCAAAAGTGGAACTTGTATATACTTAACTGTACCAGACTTGTTTCGATGTATAAAACAGTACTCTACTGGTCACTAAAAAGGGCCTGACTGAATGAAAATTGGTCAGTGGCTTCAGCAGGTGTGTGGAACACAGCTTCAGTGTTCATAGTGTTTCCTGGTCT